TTCAGCCTCAGTCTGCCTGAAGCCTCGGCCTCGGCCTCAGCCTGCCTCAGCCCCAGCCTGCCTCAGCCTCAGCCTCAGCCTGCCTCAGCCTCAGCCTCAGCCTCAGCCTGCTTCAGCCTCAGCCTCAGTCTGCCTTCAGCCTCGGCCTCAGCCTCAGCCTGCCTCAGCCTCACCACATCAGCCTCAGCCTCAGCCTCAGTCTGCCTCAGCCTCAGCCTTCCTCAGCCTCAGCCTCAGCCTGCCTCAGCCTCAGCCTGCCTCAGCCTCAGCCTCAGCCTGCCTTCAGCCTCGGCCTCAGCCTCAGCCTGCCTCAGCCTCCGCCTGCATCAGCCTCAGCCTCAGCCTCCGCCTGCCTCAGCATCAGACTGCCTCAGCCTCAGCCTCAGCCTGCCTCAGCCTCAGCCTCAGCCTCACCCTGCTTCAACCTCAGCCTCAGTCTGCCTTCAGCCTCGGCCTCAACATCAGCCTGCCTCAGCCTCAACATCAGCCTGCCTCAGCATTCAAAATCATGCCCAGGAATGGAGTTATGGGAACTCGAAGAACACGAAGTGTCGTACTGTTGGCTCCGGGCATTCAAAAATCATGCCCAGGAGTGGAGTTCTGGGAACTCGAAGAACACGAAGTGGCCTATAGTTGGCTCCGGGCATTCAAAATCATGCCCAGGAATGGAGTTCTGGGAACTCGAAAACCACGAAGAGGCCTACTGTTGCCTCCGGGCATTCAAAATCATGCCCAAGAATGAAGTTCTGGGAACTCGAAGACCACGAAGTGGCCTACTGTTGGCTCCGGGCACTCATAATCATGCCCAGGAATGGAGTTCTGGGAACTCGAAGAACACGAAGTGGCCTACTGCTGGCTCCGGGCATTCAAAATCATGCCCCGGAATGGAGTTCTGGGAACTCGAAGAACACGAAGTGGCCTATAGTTGGCTCCGGGCATGCAAAATCATGCCCAGGAATGAAATTCTGGGAACTCGAAGACCACGAAGTGACCTACTGTTGGCTCCGGGCACTCATAATCATGCCCAGGATTGAATTTCTGGGAACTCGAAGACCACGAAATGGCCTACTGTTGCCCCCGGACATTCAAAATCATGCCCAGGAATGTAGTTCTGGGAACTCGAAGAACACGAAATGGCCTACTGTTGCCTCCGGGCATTCAAAATCATGCCCAGGAATGGAGTTCTGGGAACTCGAAGAACACGAAGTGGCCTACTGTTGGCTCCGGGCATTCAAAATCATGCCCAGGAATGATTTGCTGGGAACTCGAAGACACTAATTGGCCTACTGTTGCCTCGGACATTCAAAATCATGCCCGAGGAATGAAATTCTGGGAACTCGAAGACCACGAAGTGGCCTACTGTTGCCTCCGGACATTCAAAATCATGCCCAGGAATGAAATTCTGGGAACTCGAAGACCACGAAGTGGCCTACTGTTGCCTCCGGACATTCAAAATCATGCCCAGGAATGGAGTTCTGGGAGCTCGAAGACCACGAAGTGGCCTACTGTTGCCTCCGGACATTCAAAATCATGCCCAGGAATGGAGTTCTGGGAGCTCGAAGAACACGAAGTGGCCTACAGCTGGCTCCGGGCATTCAAAATCATGCCCAGGAATGGAGTTCTGGGAACTCGAAAGCCACGAAGTGGCCTACTGTTGCCTCCGGGCATTCAAAATCATGCCCAGGACCTGGCGGTGAGCCTCGGGCGATTTGGTGTCACCGCCCGGTTTGGGGACTCGTGCGGTTTTCCGAGGATGTCCCGGACACTGGTGGGTCAAGGAGTCACAAAACCCGGTGGTGACCCCGCGTCCCCAAACCCAGCGGTGAACTTTTTGGGGATTCCACGTCGCCACCTGGTATCTCACCACCCGGTTTGGAAGTTCCCAATGGGAACTCGAAGACAACGAAGTGGCCTACTGTTGCCTCCGGACATTCAAAATCATGCCCAGGAATGGAGTTCTGGGAACTCGAAGACCACGAAATGGCCTACTGTTGCCTCCGGACATTCAAAATCATGCCCAGGAATGGAGTTCTGGGAACTCGAAGAACACGAAGTGGCCTACTGTTGGCTCCGGGCATTCAAAATCATGCCCAGGAATGAATTCTGGGAGCTCGAAGACAACGAAGTGGCCTACTGTTGCCTCCGGACATTCAAAATCATGCCCAGGAATGGAGTTCTGGGAACTCGAAGACCACGAAGTGGCCTACAGCTGGCTCCGGGCATTCAAAATCATGCCCAGGAATGAAATTCTGGGAACTCGAAGACCACGAAGTGGCCTACTGTTGCCTCCGGATATTCAAAATCATGCCCAGGAATGGAGTTCTGGGAACTCGAAGAACACGAAGTGGCCTACAGTTGGCTCCGGGCATTCAAAATCATGCCCAGGAATGGAGTTCTGGGAACTCGAAGAATACGAAGTGCGTTACTGCTGGATAACAAAGTGGTCCCTGGTTTTCCGCGGCACCCGTGCGGCATCTGCCCAGACCCCCCTGGGGAGAGGCCATTAGAAACCTATCAGTCTTCGCTGTTAGGTAAAAAGTAATCAAAACATATCCGAAAATTTTGAAAATATGCAAAAAATAGTCCCCAGGCTATTTCTGACTGTTCTTGAGTATTCCCCCTGTAGAGGGACAGGCCCGACTTAACTCTAGACGAAAAAACAAGAGCCTAGCTCTCGACGGTCCGCGCCACTCTCTTGGATCTGCGCTGGACCCCCCCGGCGGCGCCTCTTGGCGCCGCCCCTGGCGCGCTCGGGGGCCCAGCGCCGATCCAAAAAGTCCGCGCGGAGCTCCGGACGTTCATGATCGTCCGGTTTCGCCTGTCGAGCCTTGGCTGGAACGGCGAGGGGCCCCTCGGCAGCTGAGGCACCGCCAGCGTGACCTGGGTGTCGGACGGGACGTCGCCCAGGCCAGCGGGCACGCCACAACATGTGAAACGCCCCGGATGCGCCGATGCCCAGCCCCTCAAGCGCGGCGACGCGCTGCTCGAAGTCGCAACCCCATCGGGAAGGACAGACCCTGGCGAGGAGGATAAGGAGGAGGAGGAGGACGACGACGACGACGACGAGAACGACGGCGGCGACAGCGGCGGCGGCAGCAGCGACGACCACGACCTCGGCGCCGAAGTCGACGAGGGCGGCCCGCTGCGGCGGCGGCGCCACTGCTTGCGGCGGAGGTGGCGAATGGGGGGACAAAAAAAAGCCAATACCGCTACTCACAGGACTTCTCCAGGGTGCGTTCCGACTAGCATTTCGAAAAGAATCCAGCAGTGGCGACGAGTGCTCTCCAGGACAGGCAAAAGTATCAGTATATGTTCCTCCTCTCTTGGCTACCCCTAAGATCCGACGTCGCAAAAAAAAAGAAATACAACGTCATGGCAAGTCACAACCGAAGCCCTAGACCCCCTTTTTCTCTGCTGCATGTTGAGCCGCATCGGTTTGTCATGGCCACTGGGGCCCCAAGCCCGGCAAAAACGCTGGGCGTGCACAGAAATTACAACGCCCAGATCCCAGGGAGCGACCACGACGACCAGGGCGGCGTCGCGGCAACGACCGACGACGACCGACGACGACGACGACGACGACGACGACGACGACGACGACCAGGGCGACGACTCGGCGCCGAGGGCGAGGGCGAGGGGGCACGGTCTGGACACCCCGTCAGGATCCTGGTAATATTGCTGCTCGGAATTCGCCCGGGGTGCGCGTTCTGACCAGGATCCTGCAGAGAATCCAGCCGCGGTGACTAGAGGAGGAGGAGGAGGAGGAGGAGGAGGAGGAGGAGGAGGAGGAGGCAGAGGAGGAGGACGCGGAGGAAGAGGAACAAATAATCCATCCAAGTATATGATCAAGAGAATGATCATTTAGGAAACCTGGGCCAACTTCCTGGACCTTTCTTGCAACAAATCTGGACCAATTTCAGCTGTGCGCGATGGAGGGGATCTCGCGCTCGAGAAGCTTGGCCAGAGCTTTCAGGCAGGCTGGCTAAGAAACGCTGGCCCAGCTTTTCGGGAGGAGGTTTATTAATCAGATGCTCGACTGTAGCATCGGTTCCTTTCCTGGGTTGCTAAAGGTGTTCCTGGCCCAGGTTGCCCCCAGCTTGTCGCTCGACTCTGGAGCCCCGATGGAGCCCTCTGGACCTCGTGAGGAAGTGCCCTGGAGGCAACGGAGGCCTCCATGGAGATCCCGGGGGCACCTTGGGCCAGGGGCACTTCTAGCAACAGCCGAATGCCCAGACCCCGACGTCTTGATTTTCCACAACGTCGACCCCCAGAAATCTCGACTCCTTCCCCAGTGCCGGTTTTCATCCCGAGTCGTCCTTTGACCCCGAGAGGCCGAACATAACGAAAAACCTCCCGTCGCCATTTTTTCTAAACGCGAGGGGGTCTGGGAATCCTTCCCTCCTCTGAGCGACGGCCGCCAAGGCCACGGCGCGACGACGAGGGTAAGGAGACCGCCTGGGCACCCAACCGACAGCCTCGCCGCCGCCCCGGGCCCAGGTGCCACCTGCACCGACGCGGGGCCGCGCGGCGGGATTAGCCCTGCCGCGGCGGCACCTGGTCGGGAGGAGAAGGAGGAAGAAGGGAGGAGGAGGAGGAGGAGGAGGAGGAGGAGGAGGAGGAGGAGGGGGAGGAGGAGGAGGGAGGAGGGGGGAGGAGGCAGGAGGCAGGAGGACGGAGGAGGCGGGAGATGGAGGAGGAGGAGGAGGAGGAGGAGGAGGAGGAG